GGTCGTTTCGGTGGTTTTTTAGGCTCGGTTTTTATTCGGATGCGGAATTACAGCCCCGGCGCGCCCGCCCCGCGCTAAGCTCAGTAGCAGGTGACGTCGGAGTCGGAGAGGATCACCGAGACGTTGACGGCGGTGGGTTTACCGAGGGCTTTGTCCAGGTTCTTCTGCACGAAGTGCATGGGGATGCCGTCGTGGCCAACCACGCAGGCAAAGCTGTCGCCGCGTTGCCAGTCGGCTGCCGGCACGCTCAACTTGCTGTAAGCGGTGTAGGTATCTCCTTCTTCTTTGGGACCAAAGATGGTGAAGCTACCGGGGGCAACGGGACGATCTTCTTGGGTCCAGGTCACCAAGATGTCCCGAGGCCGGAACCCCAAGACCAAACAGGTCAAGGTGGCCGTTTCCTGACGGGCCAACTCCTCAGCCGGCGGCGGGAAGACGTAGACGGAAGGCGCCTTCACGGAGGCGGCTGTGGGGTGGGGCGCGAGAGAAGGTCAAGGGCGGTGGGAGGGACAGAGCTCGCCCGGCGGGCTGACTTCCTCCAATAGGCTGGCCCAGCTGGCCCTCCCAGTAAGGCAGAGCTTTCCCAGTAAGCTAGACCCTTCCAGTAGACTGGCTTCTTCCAGTAGACTAGCCCAGTTGGCTCTCCCAGTAGGCTAGACCCTTCCAGTAGACTGGCCTCTTCCAGTAGACTAGCCCAGTTGGCTCTCCCAGTAGGCTAGACCCTTCCAGTAGACCAGCCCCCTCCAGCAGACTGGCCCAGTTGACTCCCCCAGTAGACTAGCCTCTTCCAGTAGACCCTCCCAGTTGACCTCGCCAGTGGACAAGACCCTTCCAGTAGACTGGCCCAGTTGACTCCCCCAGTAGGCTAGACCCTTCCAGTAGACTAGCCTCTTCCAGTAGACCCTCCCAGTTGACCTCGCCAGTGGAGAAGACCCTTCCAGTGGACAAGCGCCTACCTATGTCTTTCTTAATGGACTTGGTGATTGGCTGCCCGAGCTCGGGGACCGTGACGGCGCAGGTGAACTTCTCCCCGGAGTTCCACTCATCGGCGCAGATCTTCAGGGTGCTGGTGAGGCGGTAAAGCCCGTTCTCCAACTTCTCCGCTGGCCCGGAGGTGACATCCAAGGCGTTGCCGTTCTCCCGGCTCCAGGAGAACTTCACGTCCTCGTGCGACTTCAGGTTGGTGGCCACGCAGGTGAGGCTGGCGTTCTGGCTGAGGTAGAGGTCCTCCAAGGAGGGCGGGAGGATGGTGACCTCCACCGCCGGTTTGGTATCTGGGAGGGAGCGGCGTTGAGCGGGCGGAGGGGCGGACGCCAAATGCCACAGGGTGCCCCCTCCCTTCCCCCCCCCCCCCGCCACACACTTCACCCGCCTCA